TATATATATATAATTTGTAAACATGGATCATGATGTTACAGACTGGGATACTATTATTATCTTTTTTTCTGAAGGCCCCTACCGCTGTTTTCATTGTAAACGCGATCCACCTGACCACCCTAGATTTCTTTCCTGTGCAGACAATGGGTTACTCGACACTAATTGTTGTAACAGTAGGCTTCTTTTTAACAATAGCCCCGGCCTGTAGAACACATCTTGACCTTTTGCCTCACCAAAGTATGTTGCAAGTATGGCCTGAGACTCACACGCTTCTTGAAAAAGGCCTGAGTGGACATGGTGTAGTTTATGAAGCTCGAAAGAGTTAATAAATGGGTCAAAGAATATTGTGTTTCAAGCTGCTATCATCGACGTGAGGTCTTTTGAGAGGCTGTACTCCGGTCGTACATAAAATCCATCTTCAATAGGAATGAGCCTTGAGATCCCCTGCAAATAAAAGTTAAAAAATGGGTTTCAAACCAGGTTCATTTGCATTGCAGTCTGACATGATACCACCTGAGCAAGCTGTGCACCATTTAAATGATTTTACTATAACGAAATTTTATAATGACAATCGACTCAAAATCATCAAAATAAACAAGGCCAAATCTCTTCAAAACGTTACAGATTTTTTAACTTTGTGCTCGTCAAAATTAAAAACGAACTCGAAAATGACTGTCTGACAGGTTTCCAAAAATCTGGCCTGAGTTCAGTCCCTCGGCAGGTTTTGTCAATTTATTCTAATTTAGGAAGCGTGTCAGGGACGACTATTTAGCTGCACGTTCCCTACAAAGTGAGGTATGCAAGAATGTGTTGCAGCAGCCCTCTTGACACTGATACGCTGAGCAGTACGAACCTCTGTTTTGTCTCTTGTTTCCTTACGGTAAAACATGTTTTTGTCTGTAGATTGTAATTCCCGTGAATATTGGAACTGGGATTCGTCTAACGATGAGGTCTACGCTGAAATCTCCCTTTTCAAAAATTTGAGGGGAAAATCGAAACTCGTGTGAAGCTTAGATCTCAATCTCATGCTTAAAGGATGACCAACTACATTGTATTCTGCACCAATTTTCTATTGTCTGTAAATCTTCTGTAAATCTTGGTCGCTTTATTTTGGTCCTTCTTCCTCAATTGCTCTTATTGTGAACTTGAGCGGTTTTCTGTGTAAACTTCTGCTCCGTTTTGCAACCGCCTTCTCTCTCTCTCTCT